AAAAATAACGAAAGAAAATATTATTCGGGTCGGTTTCTTTTTATCTTGAAAGAACAACATTTAGTTGTCTCGCTATATTTTATTTAATATATTTTATTTTTTCCGCTTTTTCAAAACTGAGTGTCTTTTCCGATTGAAAATAAACTTGTCGACAACAGTATAATGTTCCTCAGCAATGACAGGACAAAAAAAAGGAAAAAGATATCGTTTCAGATCGGACGAGCATCCAACAGTTTATATACAATTAGAAAAAAAAACTTTGTTTTCTCTAATCTTCATTTACGATTTACTCACACGTTAGAATATCAATTTAATCTTGAAGGTGTGGGTGTAGGTGTGTATGTTTTCTTCTGTCAACGGTATACTCACACCCCACACCCTCAAAATTTATTAATCTGGCCTGAAGTATGTGTGATGTATGAATGCAAATCAAACTCAACTAAATATGAAAATAGTTGGCTAGGAACTCTAGATTTACATCCTTTGAATCTCCTTCCAACAAATAATACATTCGTACAAAATCTTCAACGCTGGTAAATTAGAATCTTGATAAATTCTTCGCAAGGATTGTTTCATTGTATGCTCGAATTCGACTGTTAATTATCAGCAATTTTTTATGAGTATATCTGACAGAGTGAAGATTTTTATATAGGAAAATATCTTACTTTATTGACTTTTAATTCTAAAAAGCATGAAGAGACAGTTTTCTAACCAAAACTGCTTTTTAAGGTTCCATTGAACGGAAAGATATTCAAATATATTTCTGTAAAGAGAAAGATTCTGAATTGTGTAGGTATTGTTCCAAACTAACGAAGCATTTCAAATCGTAATCAATAGAATTCTTATAAAATAGTGTCTTAATTCAAATTTATAATTAAAATATTCTTAACTGAATTTGAAAATAGTTGGTGATGAACTTAAACTCTAGATCTTTGAGATTTTATTTTAACAAATATGATACTCTAATTAATTATTAATAATATTATGCATGTCTTTTTTTGTAACAAAATAAACATCTAGAATAGCTGATAAGCTGAAATCACAACTTATATAGTTTGTTTTAAGTGAAACAGCTAGATGTTGCAACTCATTATGTCTGATTCTCTTATTAGAAAGTTTCCTAGTCTTAATTATCTATGATGTTACGTTAAAAAGATTATAGAAGTTGAATTCCGAGAATCTCTCAAATCTTTGAATATATGACAATGCTCGATCTCTATCCTTATCTAGTTCGATCAGTTAATATGCTCTTTGTGTACTTATTAACTGTAAATTGTATGATTGCAGATGAACTTAAGAGAAACTTTTCAAATATTAAAATAAATCATGACATTGACAGATTCGTCATATTTTACTGTGCAATTACTTACGATATATTGATTATGTCGTTTTAGAATTTTCTGTAGATTGTTGCGATCAAATAGTAACAGAATCAATGTGCTCCAGAAATAAATGTGATTAGTTCTTGATAAAATTCTATTTCAAAATTTCAGTTTCATATCAAAATCTTCATTCTGATTTTCGCTTCAAATCAAATAAAATTCTAAATAAACAATAGATATATCTGTAAGACGTTTAAGTTTAAAATAAATAATGTAATTACAACTCAGAATACTTGTCTGATTTGATTCTATTGGAATTGAACACAAGTAGAAATCTTGGAAACATATCATTGTGAAAATTTCTTGGTGTGTATAGAATTCGTTTATCAATATTTTTATACCAGAAACCAGGAAAATAAAAATTAAGAAAAGTGAATTGGAAACTCCATAAACTCTATATGTTTCTAATCATCTTTCTTCATAATTAGAGAAAACTTCTCCGATTGTACATAATCCTTGACAACAATATGTTCTGATAGATTAAATTGTGTAACTGAAACTAGTAATAACGTTTCACTCGTCATCAAGAGTGAAATTTCAGCTAAAATCTAACACATTTAAAATTAAACACAAGAAATGTGTTTTATTAATGTTCTCGACACTTGAATAAATTCAGGCAGATATTATTCGTAAGTCACTTGAAGTTTTCTGAGTAATGAAACATAACATGGTCACTATCATTTGAAAGCTAACACTTCAGTTTCAAAAAGAATGGAGAGAAGTTGTTAAAATTAAAATTACTTTTCATGATTATGTTGAAGATGAAAGATAGTGGAAAAGTTTATCATGTTTATGCTAAAACAAGTTGAACATGTACATTGTAGAAATTAGCTTGAAGTGTAACTTAGATTGTTCGTTTTAAGTGCATGAGTTAGATGTTGGGTCCCATTTTCCATGGTTTTACTCGCCTAAAGACTCAGTACAATAAGTAGATAGTAACAAAAACTGCATTTGGAAGTTGAATAAAAAGATTTTTGCAGATGTTCTAGTCTTCAATCAACTTTCTGAATAAATATACTCATCGAATATACACATATCGAATACATTATTAACGATCGAAATAAATTATATAAGTGAAATATTATGTTCAAGTTTTTTCAGATTTCAAAGTCATCCTAAATTGTGGGAGAAAAAATTTGTAGCATAGACTTCGTCAATATCTTACGTTTGAGGTAAGACGATAAATGTTTCGCTAGAAAAAATCCGATAAGCTATCGAAACAGAGTTATAATTCCCATGGACAAAATGATGACAATACAAAAATTACATCCAGTTGACATTCAAGATTGATTATCAGAGGAATATTCAAATCAATATGGAACAAATACATTGAAAATTTCTACATTTTTTAAGTGTGAGTAAAGAGAGGAATGACACCTACACCCAACAAGGTAATATTTTTCTTTTGTTCATCATCAACAAAATAATAGACATTTTTGAAATCACTACAAGCAATCTTCAATACGACAGCTTTATACATGATTATACTTTATTTGGTTTTGTATATTACAAACAGAAAATTAAAAAAATTACAAAATGTAAATATTTAAGGAAAAATCACCATCATCATTATCTCAAATTTTGAAAACAAAAATATTTATCATAATAAATAACGGGTAAAATCTAGATTTATTAATGAAAAAAATTCACTTGATTTAACCGGTAACAACTGATCGATTCCAATACAGAATTGAAAATGATTACACTTTGATCCGTTTA